GCGCTGAATTGAGCTGGGCCGAGCTGAGCTGGAAGCGCGCTGAATTGGGCCGGGGCCGAGCTGAGCTGAGCTGGAAGCGCGCTGAATTGGGCCCGGGTTCCGGAATCTACGCAATGTCCAGGCAGCGCGCGGCCTCGGGGAAGCCCTTTGTTGTGAACGGATACATTTTGCCTTTAAAGAAAAATGTAGCGAAGGAAGATTCGGACGAGGAGGAGGAGGAAGAAGATGTTGAACCGCAGTTCCTGGATTTCGAAGACATGATGAGCATGTCAGACGGTGCAAGTTCTGTCAGAGCCTCTTCTGTGGCGCGGCGGTTCGGTAAAAAAAAAGACCTTTGCTGTTTGTTGACTATTCCCACCATTGTCTGTCTTTTAATTTGTGGCACACGCGTTGTAAGTACACATTGACCCAGATTTTGTGGTCAGTGGCGAAGTTGGATTTGGACCTCGTCACGTTGATATAGATTTTGCGACACTAATGATAACAATTTTATCAATATTAATGGGTATTCCTCAGACTGTGGTAGCAACATCTGGAATCGGCACAGGCCCAATTAAACCCAGCAATTCGGAAGTTGTCACTGATTCTACACTTGCTCATTATTATTTGATTGCACCCTGGAGGTTACAGAATAGAAAACGCAACTGATTAAACTTCCACTCTTACCCTTTCGTCTCGTAAACACCTTGGAAAATTAAACCCGCCGAATGTGTTTATCAACGTTCTAAATTCATAATTGCTGGTGAACGCCTTAATTGGCCCTCAAATTAATTTAAAAGATCAGTTTTCTTTATAAATTCTCACTTTCAAAAGTTTATTACTTCACCTTGTACAATAGTGCCGTTTCTATGTCACACTCATTTATATCACTGACTACGGAGTTGAGTTTAATTTCCCGGTATGGAAATACTTCAGCGTGATTGGTTGCTTACCCACTTGATCTTTACTCCTGGGCACCTAGAAATCCCTTTGACTCTGAATTATATTTAAATTGACATCTGCAAAGGGAAAAATCCACATCAGATACGGATTGTGGCAATTGGGCTGTTGAAGTATTCTCAAGATAGTGAACCAGAAAATAAATATTATCCTTAGATTTTAATTAAATTTCAGTGAGCGGACATGATAGTATCATAAGTATGTAACTAAGGTACAAACTGAAATATCGTAACTTTTAAAGAAGTATTCCTTTCAAAGGTATAGAATTAGATTTTTCAGGGACATTGAGGCTTTTGAGTAGTGGATTTGGGTTTGATATATTATTAAAAATTAAGTTCCACTTCACTCAAAAAGGTTCAAAATTTCAATTCTTTTACAAGAATCTTATTAGCAACGAGGTTTTTTTTTCATCGGCTCAAAGATTTTTGCCTCATTCGCATTCTGAGGTACTTTGTGAAGAAGTGTGGAATGGCTGTCTGACCGAAACATTGGGTTTAACTGAAGGCATGGACTAGTTACTGTCATTTTAACAGCAGTAAAATGGTGAAAACTGATGGTGTTTACTGGCTGTACCGCAGCAAAATCTAGTCCGATGTCAGACTACGTCAAATTGTAATTATATCACTTAGCCAGAAGTGCAACGGTGCCGACGCTAGAAATGCTGGAAATACTCGGGTTTGTGGTTAACGACTTGATAAACAGTAACTGCAAAATTGACAAAGTCTCAAGTGATAAACACAATTGCAGGTTCAATACAGAGTATATTCAAGATAATTAGAGCGGAGAAAACATAAAAAGATAATGAACATTTGAAACTTGGGGTAAGGGATATTTTCTGCTTGTTTCACCAGTTGTGATTGTGTCTATGAATAAAGATCAATTGACCACTCTTTCTTCATTCATGTAGAAAGTGTACAGTTACTTTGATTGCATCAACACTTGAGACATTAGGAGATATAATTTGGGTATCATTCAAGATTTGCAGTTTTTGACATTGGATGGTGATGCAAACAGATTGGCTACTTACAAAATAAAAACCGAAAGAACTGCGGATGCTGTAAATCAATCAAGGCAGTTAACTCTGGGGTGGTATGTGAAAGTTATTTTTGTTTTGGAAAGATGAGATGGCAGGCAGTATCCTTAAAGCTTTACTCTGGAATGAGCAAATGGCCTGTAGGTTCATCCTTGGGCGCAATCAAGCTCACAATTATGCATTCTTTTGGAATATGTGCTTGATTAACACCCAGATTGAGCGTTTGTTTCAGTGCAAATATGCATGAAATTCTCCAACATTTTCAGGAAAAATAGTGAAATCTGGTTAGGGAATAAAAATCTTTTGATCAAATCAAAGCCACTATTAAGAAGTTGTTGAAAATGCAATATAATAAATCCTTACAGAATAGTAATTTCACAGTTTTAAAACAATTCTAATTTCCTCAATGATTTCGTATGAGAAGGTGGACATCTTTGAAAACATAATTAGTTGGAAGAGATGTAAGTAGAATTTAATAGATGTATTCCAATGCTTTAGTGTCGAAACTTTGAAAGATAGCAGTCAGATTTCATACCTCTGTATTTATCCACTTTTCTGTAGTTCTAATCAAAGACTGTGACACCAATAAAACTTACAAAGTGTACGGAAGGTTTCATTTTACTGGTCCATGGTGGAAGGTGACTGCAAAGATCAAGTGCATCCAGAAGAAATGGTACTTAAGCTGGTATCCGTCCTACAGTCTGAGGAGTCATCTGGCAGACCGAAGAAAGGAAATTTTCAGCCTGTTCCTAACAGCGTGTAACGTTCATGAGCAACATAAAAAAATTTTTATTGAGTCTTTGACTGAGGATAGTAACCTTGAATTTTCAAACCTGTTGAAAACTTTGCAAAGGATTGCAGATAAGGATACTACACGAGACCAAAACTTCGCAAAAAGCATTATTGCAGCCATAAATAGTTCAGGTAAGCTTGCATGTCTCTCTTTGGATTATAGGTTTTGCTCTTATATTGAAACATTGTACATAATCTTCAGAATTCAGTATCAGAAGACATCTTTGATCAACAGCTGCAAGAGTAAGTTAAAAGGAAATGGAAGGTGATATTTAATTTGGTGATTTCATTAAATTTAATAAGAGTAAAACTGTGCATTTTGAAATAAATTGTAAACATGATAGAAGTATTCTTTGAGCTCATTTAGAAATATTCTGCAGAAATGCAATGCAAGCAGTTGAGAATGATAAAGTAAACATTTACATACATTTGGAAAATGAAGTATTTTGAAAGTCAATATTCCAAACTCATGAAATAGTTTTTCACAATTACTGCTAGTTATTACAGATTTGCAGAAGGTTGTCCAATAAATCACTCCCACCACCAAAAATGATCATCTTCTTTTGATATTCTACTTTTGTCAAAATGCTCAATACTCAAATACAAACCAGTCTGACTGATTTTGTTTGGTTTGAATGTCTTTAGTTTAACAATTTTGATCCACAAGTTTCGGTAACTGATCAATAATATACAACATTTACCAGCAGTATCCAGAAATCAAGTTGGAGGAGGCTTGCAGCCCTAACCAATTGATTTGATTTCTAATGTGAACTAATATTCGTAATTTAAAATACAATCTAGTACATTTCTGAACTGAATGTACTTTTCGTGATCCTGTTGGTTGAAAAGTTACCAAGGTTAAAAGGGAGGAAATATTAGAATTCATAGCTTTTTTTCTATAAATGGTAAAGCCAGGTTTTTAATACTATATTAGTTGTTGACTTTTTGTGATGCTAATACTTCAGATGGCAATCAAAAAAAAACTAGTTGCAAATGTAGTGGGTCATTCGTACCTCACAGGCCTTTGGAAGTACTGCAGAATTAACAGGTAGCACCATAAAACCTGAAGTGTAGCTTCTTGTCTCAAGTGACACTTTGTTCTGCACACTGTAGGGTATTTGTAGTTGACAGCTAGTATTGATATGCTGCTTTCCATTCAATGAAGATTGCTGTGATTTTACTCTGTATCCTGTTTCACGTATAATCACAGCATTTGTCAACCAGTCCAGTGTTCCCTAAACGTCATTGCTATATAAAACACACAAGCTCACATCTTCTGGTCTCTGTGACTGTATGACTAAGATGTGCCCCCTGGGCCCTGTCAAAGTTTTGATGCTTAGGCCCTTTTTTTTTTGTTTTTAAATTCACCCATGAGACGTGGGCATGGCTGGTTGGCCAGCTTTTGTTGCCTGTACCTAGTTGTCCTTGAGAAGGTGGTGGTAGTGAGCTGCCTACTTCAACTGCTGCAGTCTAATAGCCTGGGAAGTTTCAGAGCCTGATAGGATATTCTTCTATCTCTGGGACTGTCTGCACTTGTTTCAATTCTGATGTACTTTTCTGGATAGTTACTCAGATATTAGACCGATCAACAACGTTCCCTCTAAACACTGTGCATATGCAACTGCTCCAATTTTCCACACATGCGTATGAGATTAGAAGTAGCAGTGTGTCTGAACTTGTGTATCTTATTTTGTAGCTGTAGTTGGAATGGAGGACGTGGCACTGAGGCAGAGGTAGTCAAGAGCTTAAATTTCCCATGAGGAAATATCATCAACGATCTATCCGGGTCCATCCACATTGGTGTGCTTTCTTGACTATAGCATCAATGCCTCTACTTCCTCAGAAGGCTAAGAAAATTTTGGTTTGTCCACAATGACTCTTACCAAGTTTTATAGATGCACTGTGGAAAGCATCCTATTTGGATGCATCACTGCTTGGTATGGCAACTGCTCTGCCCATGACTGCAAGAAATTAGAGTTGTGAATGCAGCCTAGTCCATCATGAAAATCAGCTTTCCTTCCATTGACTGTGTCTGTATTTCCCACTGCCTTGAAAGACCCGTCCTATCCCAGTTATACTCTCTTCCACTGGGCAGAGGGCACAAGTTTGAAAACATGTACCAGTAGGTTGAAGAACAACTTCTTCCCCACTGTCATCAGACTTCTGAATGGACTGCTCATAGTTGAGTTGATCTTTCCCTGCACCTTCTCAGTAGCTGTAACATCATATACGCTGCATTCTGTTCTATTACCCTGATGTACTTGTATAAGGTATGATTTGTCTGGTTAGCATGCAATACAATACATTTTATTGTATCTCTCTTTGCAGGTGACTAATTAAATCAAATCAAAATGAGGAAAATGTGCATGTGGAATTTTAAATGTCAGGTACAATGGATAACTCTAAGCAGCAGGGATCAGATTTATTCTTTGATTTATGCAATTTCAGGCAGGATGTAAGTCAGGTTGTTGATTGATCTCTGATCTCTGTAACGTTGGTCTACGGATAAGAAAGTATTCAATAATCGAACTTGTAATTGTAGTTTAGCGTTTGCCAAAATTACATGTATGTGCACGTTGGGCAGGGTCATGATTTGGCTCAGCCATATTGGTAAGAAATGTTTTTGTTTACATTACCCACGATCTTATAAAATGATAGAATGGACTTGAGGGATTGAATGGCCTACTGCTAATATGTGTAATCTTTCATGAGAGGATTGCAATAGCATTGAATGCATTATTTTTGGCAATGACCTTTCAGAATAGATTTGGGTGTTGAAATAAATGATTAGTTACTCACGAAGGGAAATGTGGGCTTTTTTGATTGGGCCAGCATTTATTGCTCATTCTGAATAGCCCTTGAAGGTGCTGAGCTGTCACCTTTGAAAGGACAGTTAGGTAAATGCTGGCCCAGCTGGTGAAGCCTGCATGTCCTGAGTTAAAAAAATTAAAATCTTTAAAGGAATAAGAATTTGTTTGTGTGGGATTAGGCTTGCTGTTTATGCTGATGATAACTTGCATTTTGTAATGCTTTTAATGTAGGCAAACATGCCAAATTGCCCTTCAGAAGTGTAATCAGACAAATTTCAGAAATGGGCTAGGACAACCCTTAAACGATTGTTTTTGTTAGTGTCAATCTGAGTGTTAAATGAATGCACATGAGAGTATGCATACAAGATAACATTTGAGATTCACATTATTAATTGTGCAATAATTTAGTTGAAGGTCAATATGTGCAGCATGCGTTAATGTTCCAAAACTTGATGGAGATCCTGCCCATACTTCTGCCACGGCACTTCTTGAGTATTTTAATGCCAAAAAGGGAAAATGGAAGAGAGTCCCGTTCATACCATACTCTGGAGGAGTTGGAACAGATGATTGCGACAGCAGTATGGAAACTAGGATTCAGTCAAGTAAGTTCATCTGTATGCACAATTGTCAATATGAGTAAATCCCAAGTATACCTTTGTTGTTTTTCTTCTCTCTCGCTGTGAGCATTTAAACAGGAGTCTTTTTCATCTGCATTTCTCTAACTTCCATTGACCATAGTAGCTTCATGAGTGTGACAAACCAAAAATTAAATGTTGGCAAACAAAATACATAATCAAGGAAAACAACACCATCGGACATCAGTTTCAATCCTAAACCTTCCACTTTTGAAGAGATTCCAACTCAATGTAGTAATTGCATTTGCATTTAAAGACCCTGTAAAGTTGCAGGTGTTCTCCTATTAAATAGTTAGTTCAAGAATAATTTCTGAAGGTTTTTTTTACTTTCTGATAGATTCTGTCGAAGGAGCTACAACTGATTGGTTGTGAGGCATCCTTGTTGGCCTTTGAGGAAGCTGATATACTGAAGACAATTCCAGAGTTACAAAGGCATGCTTTGGTCATTTATGATAAGCTCAAGCAAACTTGCTGGAGTAAGGGACACACCTATGTTAAAGTTGATGGACTGACTGCATTGCGTCCATCTGAGTTCAGTGTTCAAAGTGCATGGGAATCACTACAATTTTTAAAGAACTATGAGATAATCATCGTAGAAAAAGAGCGAGTGTATCTCAAGTGCTTTTATAACTATGAGAAAGACATTGCATCTTGTATAAAGCAACTTGTGGATAAACCTCCATGGCATATTTCTGTGCCAGAGGCTTTGACAAAAGCCAGCACTGCAGAGCAAATGGAAAGACTACCTGAAGATACAGAGATCAAAGAAATTAAATTGGATTCTTATCAGTTGAAAGTTGCTGCCATGATGTGTGAAAATCCTGTTACAGTTATCAGTGGTAAAGGTGGCTGTGGAAAGACAACACTTGTCAGCTGTATCTTTAGCACAGTGGTTAAAAATATGGAGAATGCAGATAATGAGGAACTATCGCAAGCATGTCAAGTTCTTGAGCAGGACGAATGGGCTTCTGAAAGCTGGGATATTCCAATGGGTGCAACTCCCAGTGGCAACTTTGAGCAAGTCAATGTCAGAAAAGTATCTGTGCTGTTCACTGCACCAACTGGAAAGGCAGCATCTCTTTTAAAGAAAAAAACTGGGTTTAATGCTTATACTTTACACCAGGTAATTGCCATTCAACGATACTTGTGGATAATTCAAATCTTTTAATATGTTTTAGCATAAAGTAAACGGATGACTTTTAAAAGAATTCCTAAAACACTTGTTTTGCTACTATATTGGAGCCTAAAAGTTTGAGGAATATGTTAGCCCAGGTTACATGTAAACATTCAATGAATTGCTGGTTAGTTTCTCCAAAATCTTTCAAAAGTAGCCAAGTTAAACAATGTATATTTTCGCTACACTAGCCGGTATATTATTAAGATCATTTTGATTATCTATATTAGGGCAATACCTGAAAGGGTTGGAATAACTTGGAAACAGCCTTCACTGGTTGCCAACAAGGGATGCTGGAATCCAACTGCATACGGGAATAAGAATCTTGACAGTAATTGTAGTGGCTGCTAACAGTTGAAAATAAATTATAACTTTGGCAAAGGTACTTTTTGAGTGTTTTGTTGATAGCCAAGTAATGTGTTAGGGCTATGTTTCCAGCCTTAGTATGATTTGGAATTGTGGAAGTGAGGTGATAGCAGGACTGCTCCATGTGGTAAGAAATACTCCCTTTAAAACCTTAATTTCTGCTACTCTTTGGATTTTACTAGCAGGTTTACCAATTAAGCCTAGAGTTTGAACATTTCTTTTACACTGTCTTTCATTTTGCTTTGATTACTATTTCTGATGTCCGTGTTTTTTTAATAGCACTCTTTTTAGAAGCTGTTTGTAAAAAGCTTAGACTTCTCTTGAAATCATGTTGCAGCTGCATTTTTTTTCCGACTTTCCCTATCTCCCTATCATATTAGTGTGATCCACTACCAGCTCTAGTTAAATCTCCAAGTCAGGGTAATGACCCTGTTTTTTATGCCAGTAATGACAGCAATACTGTCAGTGTTTGCTCCTATTACTCCTTTGAAACTGGCAATCATTTGGAGTGCAGGCATATACAGTTAAACACTAAAGCAGCTGTAGCTGTCAGTGATTCCACACTTCTTCCCTATATTTCTTTACTCAGAGAGTAGTAAGGGCGTGGAATGCCCTGCCTGCAAAAATAGTAGACTCGCCCACTTTAAGGGCATTTAAATGGTCATTGGATAAACATATGGATGATAATGGAATAGTTTAGGTTAGATGGGCTTCAGATTGGTTTCACAGGTCGGCGCAACATCGAGGGCCAAAGGGCCTGTACTGCGCTGTAATGTTCTATGTTCTATGTTCTATGTTCTATACAGTGTGCTTTTGAAATCCCTACAGACTGAAGACACTGAACTTCCCCGTTTACACTGTTAGTCTTCCTGTAAAAAAAAATTGGGAAATAGTTATATCTTGTTTAATATGGAGTCTTTTTTTTTCTCAGATGGCCTACTAAGTTCTAAATTACAGACTCTGTGACCTTGGCGGGGGGGGAGAAAATACTTGAGTATTTATGGAATATCAATAGTCCTCAGTACGATTTAAGAAAAGCCCAACATTTTGAGATTTTTTTTCTAAATCTCATGATATTTCAACTTCTATATTTTCATTGGAAGTGTATTTTTTTTCCTTAATTGGTACGTAACTTGAGTAATACTGAATTTTGTCAAAGCTTTTTATCTTGCACTCATAAGGCAGAGTCAAAAGAAATCCACAGTAAGGGAAAACTAATATTCGCACTGAGAGGAGAGTGCTTATTGGTTGGCAGGTGAATTGTTAGAGATATCGCCATGATGACTGTCAATTAACTGTTAAGTTTTGGTGATTATGTTTTAAATAGTACCAGTTGACTTTGGTCAAGGGACTACCCTGAGAAATGAACCAGAGAATGCGTATCACTTGCTTTTGTTGTGCTAAATCGGGCACCATGTTTGTATGTTATTTCTGCCTGCAAAGAACAGGGTCCTGTGTTTTATTGTATGTTGCCTCCAGTTCACACAATGTAGGAGACCGTGACTGACAATCCTCGATTTATCATCAGCATAATCCTTTGCATGTTTAGGATTAAATGGCAAACTTTGTCCAATTGCAGAATCACATCTAATGTTGCACACTGTTTTTTGAATTTTGCAAGCAGAAGCTGGTTGGGTATGGTCAGTACACTGTTGCTAATAGCTGAAGGAATAAGCTTTTTGATTTGATACATCCCAATGACTGATGAATCGCCTACATATATGGCATCAGCCAGCACTGAAATTTAAATGCAACATTTTCATTTGTGCGATAGGCAGATCATCATTGTAGCTTGACGATAGCAGTATCCTATTAGTGGGAATGCTACTTGTGTAGCAGAGTAGCAGGACGAAAGTGCTACCTTGATCTGTTGCTTAGACTTTTAAGATACCTTGCACTAATCTGAGGTAGACTGGGCAAGTTTCAAGATAACGAATTATGGCCATTGGCCCATTGATAAATGCATGAGAAGTGAGCTGTGTAAATTAGCCATTCATCCACAGGATGATATTTATTTATTGCATCACAAGATGTGGACATGGCAAGCAGTTGTCACCAATCTTCTTGGAAACGGCTTTAATTCATTCCAATTTTAAGATTTTAAATCTTTAGGATTAAAAAGAACGTGGAACTGCAATAATATTAATATTAGAAATAATACGAGATGTGAGGTTTTCTTCACTTGTGTTTTGATTAGTAAAAAGGTTCAACGCAGTATTAAGATTTGAAAATTGATTAGGGAGAAATATAAATTTTTAAAATTTTGTGTCTTGTCTGAATAAAGACCTATTGAATTGTTTCTTGTTTTTTAAAAAAAAAATAGGTGGTGTGGAATTTCTGGGCCGCAGAGAAATCAATTGCATCAGGAAAACCTCCTGATTGGATGTTTTCTGATGTCCAGGTACTGATTGTTGATGAGGGGAGTTTGGTTTCTGTGCGTATCCTAAGTACTGTTTTAAAGTTGCTTATGGAGCGTGCCAATCTCAAAAAACTTATAATCCTTGGTAAGTATCTGATCAGAGTTCTACTCATTCTTGGAATGCGTTAATATGCAGTGCAAAATTACTTGCATTTTCTTCAGTTTTCTCTTGAGAGATCACCCAGAGGGAAACGGATTATAAAGTACAATTATAAATAGTGTTAAGTAAACTTGATTGCAATTGTAATGCTGCCAATAAGTAGCACTTCAACCAACAACTTGGTGAAGGTGAAAGTGAATTGATGAACATTTTCAGAAATGACCTGTTAGCGTCACCTGTTTAAAGAAATGTACTGATTATTCTATTTGTATGCCTTTCACAGTAATACATTGTAGATTTTAACTTGAATATCAGTTTCTGTGTGAATACACTTCCTGTGTTGCTTCTTGTATCAGAGGTATCTAGCCTCTTGGAGCATATGACATGGCCCATTTGATTAAATTGCCTTTGAGTAAGGCAGAATCCTGATTTTTAGACATCATGTACCATTCTAATTTGAATTTCTTTGAATCCTTGGATTGTTATTTATGTCTCTATCATCCATCCATCCTACATATTTCTTCTCTCCAGCAATTTCATTGGTCTCCTTCTTGATCTTTTACTCCTTCTGTATTTTATTTCCTTCTGTATGCTTCAGTATTTCTTCCTTTCCTTTTGGCTCTGTAGTTATGGTTGGAAAGAGTCTGCAACAGTGGGTTTCAGACACATTGAAATGATGGGTGTTTCTGACTGAGGAGCTGAGGAAATATGGCTGATGCTGATGGTGATGCTGTAACACTGCTTCCCCTGCCCCCGCCCAGATGGTGGGTGCAGTCAAAATAAGGTCCCCAGGTTTCATTCCACTTTTTTACTTGCTGTTCTGTCTTTTGAGCCACTCTTCACTGTGTACTTTGCATATCCCATGAAAGAATACATTTTAGTCCATTTCTCCAGTGAACCCTGAGCCTCCGTCCTCTGATGATCTCTCTCCCCCACTTCCCCTTTTCTGAATTCGCAAACACCTGCCCAGATCTAATCTCATATCTGTCCAATCAAGATCCTCCATACAAATCAACCCCCCCTCCCCTCTCCGTCACAAGGCCCTGTACTGACCCCAAATTGTTGCTGCAGGAGATCAGCCTGAAGCAATGTTCTCAAGAACTGAAAGAATAAATCTATTTGACCAACTAGTCCATTGTTGATGTGAGAATGAGTAGAGTAAGTTTTGACACAAAATCAGAAAATGCTGGAAATACTTGGTAGGTCAGGCAGCATCTGCAGAAAGTGAAACAAAGGTAATGTTTTGGATTACCTTTCATCAGAACCAGTTGACCTTGGTGCTGTTTTTTTCTCTTGATTGATGCTGCCAGATCTGCGTTTTCTGTTTTTACTTCAAATTTTTAGCATCTGCAGTGTTTTGCTTTTTTTTTGAGATACCGGGTCAGTGCACCCTTGGCTGGTCATCCCTGGATTTGAGCAGTCTTTGTACATGTGCGTTTTGACGTATATAAAATTACTCCTTTTATTTTTCCTAGGTGATGTTAAGCAGCTACCAAGTATTGAACCGGGCAACATGTTGAGTGATGTATATTCCAGTTTGCTCCAAATTAAATGGAGCTTTGAACTACCAAACAATCATCGTGCAGAGAGCCAGCTGATCATAGATAATGCTGCTAGGTACGTCTTTGCTTCCTTCAGAAGTGCAGTTATCTACTCACATGCATGCACTTGAACTGAAATAGTTTTCCTGCAATGTTCTCAACTGCCTTATTCTTCTCCTTCATTGAATTTGATGAATTTTGAATGATCTGCTCCAATAAACAAGCCCAATAATCCTGACTAGTCTGTGTTTTTGCCTTGATTATGTTTGTGCCATGTGCAGTTGGATCTTCTGATCTTTATATCAGCAACTTTTAAGATTGGCTTGCAGCTTTAGTATCTTTTGCATTGTTGGTCGCTTTTTTTTTCTGTATTGATTTTGTGATTAGTGCTCATTTGTGTTTCTGCGTGAGTTGCAAATAAAAGAAGGAGCTGTCTACTAGAAATGTCTAAGAAATGTAAAAACTAGTTAATTACACGGGTCCAATGCATTTATCTTTGTGGTTGTACGAAGTGCCTTTTAATAGCACGAATGAAGCAGACTGTCTGACTGTTCAGTTCTGTCGGCTCAATCAAAGCTTTTTGTCAGTCAGCCCCCTCAAAGGTGAGATACTAATTGCAACTGTCACCTAGAAGTCACTGGCTTCCAAAGAGAAGGTGAAAAACAGTGGGGAACAAAGTGGTGGTGGGAAGGAGCAATGGCATTTGAAATAGCTTTTACGACTAGCATTCTTTTAATATAACCACTTCACTTTTCATGACTTCTAATCTCTTAGGATTGCTGAGATGGGATTGAAGTCTACATATAACGAGTTGCAATATGACGCAGTGATGCACATATCAAAGTCTGCAGATGTCACCATTCCAACATCTGATAAAAAATTCATTCTTGTTTCTCTGCCCTCCAAATATAACTCCACTGGTGAGTCTGGAAACGATTCATATTGATTTAGTACTTGGACTTGCTATCCAGAAAGGATGGTTTACCTCAGAGAAACACAGGCATTTTATTTTTTTTGGTGGGGTCTCTCCCTGGAGGCATTAGTGGGGAATGCAATCCTGCCAGTCATGGTTGCTCACAGCAATTTAACACAATATGGTGCAGTGATGCAAATATCAAAGGACGTAGACGTCGCTATTCCGATGTGAGACGTGGGCCTGTCACTCAAGGTTCCTGTTTCAGAGAGTTGCTGGCCATTCAGATTGGAACGGTGGATACTATCGAGACTGGAAACAATCCATAATTTAAAAGTGGCAGGAGCTCACATCAGGTAAGTAGGATGTTTCATGGAGAATGGATTGGGAGGAGGGGACTGGGCATCATGACCTGAAGGGCGGGCAGGTTGGAAGCATTTGAATGGTGTAAAAAGTATCTTTTAGGTTGGATGCCTACTGTTGACAGAATGGAAGTAATAAGGGTGTGCTCCTACTCCACCTGCCTGAGGACAGAACAGCGTGATTTGGTAATGTCTCCATTTACCTAAACCTTTTCTGCCAGTCTCAAAATTGAGGCCAGGCTGGGAAGTAGTGCTTTGGGTATTATGGGTTCCTATATCCATATTTATGATGTAAATTCCCTTTTTGTAAACTTCTCATCCTGTAATTACACATTCCTCCCTGCAGTGCCATCGTTATGCTCATGACTGCGCAGCTTCTGCATCCTAATGGAGTTAGGATTGATCCATAATACATAAGGTTTTGTTAAGGTGGACAAATGCAACTAAATGCCTTTAATTTGTCATTGTAACATAGGTTGAACTTGTAAAGGTGATAATTGGGAATTTAGATTTGTGTATAATATTATGTTTCGAATGCATATTTGTATTGAGTACCGAGAACCAGAGTGAAACATAGCAAATAGGAGCAGGAGTAGGCCATTTGGCCCTTCAAGCTTGCTCTGCCATTCATTGTGATCATGATGGATCATCCAACTCCAGTAAGTTGTTCCTGTTTTCTCCCCATACCCTCTATCTGATTAACTCTAAGAACCATATTTAACTCCTTGAAAACAATCAATTTTTTTTTTAGCCTCACTGCTTTCTGTGGCAGAGAATTCCACAGGCTCACTACTCTCTGGGTGAAGAAATTTCTCCTTCTCTCAGCCATAAACGGCCTACCCTGTACCCTTTTAGACTGTGACCCCGTTCTAGACTTCCTAGTCATCGGGAACAGAAGAACTGCACTGAGCTGTTTAAAAAGCACAGAGATGTACCCTCATTAAAAATTCAAATATGTCAAAACTAGACAAACAATAAGAAAGAAGTTATGATGTTTTAAAGTACGATGAGGATGTTTACGTTTTTTTGTTTGTCCTTGGCAGATCTTCAAGAAGCTATTGAATGTTTACTAAACTCAAAAGCCCCAGGACTGGATGATGATGTGACCTCACAGTTTGTTGCATTTAGACGGTAATTATACTTTTAAGAAAGATGATAATGAATTCAGTACATAGTGTTTCTGCCTAGGTATCACTGCAAAAACTAAAACAGGAAGGAGAAAGGTAATTTACTGTCCAGTGTGTAGTGGTGTACCATAGGGATCAGTGCTGGTCCTTAATTGGTTGTGATATTCATAAATGCTTAGATAAGAATGTAGCGGGGTAGAGCATGGTAAGTTTGCGGATGACAAAAATTGGTTGGATAGTTGACAGTGAGGAAGAAGATGTTAAGTTACAGCAGGATATAAACACATTGGTCAGATAGGCAGATCAGTGGTAAGATGGAATTTAACTCTGATAAATGTGAGGTGATGCACTTAAGAAGAGGGAACAAGGCAAGGGAATACTTCATGAATGGCAGGTCAGAGGAGCAAAGGGATCTTGGGGTGAATGTCCATAGATCCTTGAAGGTATAGGATGAGTTAATAGGGTAATTAAGAAGGCATAAATAACACTTACCTGTAACAGTCATGGCAGAGATAAGAACAGGGAGGTCATATTGGAGCAGTACAGAACTTTGGCTAGGCCACAGCTGGAGTATTGTATGCAGTTCTAGTCAGCTATAAGAAGGATGTGATTGCACTGAAGGGGGTGCAAAAGTGATTCACCACGATGTTGCCTGGGATGGAGTATTTTAGCTATAAAGAGAGGCTGGATAAGATCAGGTTGTTTTCTTAGGAGCGGAGAAGGTTAACGGATGATATGATAGAGGTGTGTAAGATGAGGGCTGTGGACAGGGTGAATAGAAAGTAGCTATTCTCCTTAGTTGGAGGGTCAATAACAAGGGGACGTAATTTTAAAGTGAAAGGTTTAGAAGGGTTTTGAAGAAATCCAGAGGATGGTGGGGGTCTGGAATGCACTGCATGCGAGGGTAGTTGAGACAAGAAACCTCATAACCTTTGAAAAGTACTTGGATGAGCACTTGAAGTGTCTTAGCATTCAAAGCTATAGTCCTAGTGTGGGGAATTAGGACTAATGTAGGAGGTAGTGTATTTTTGACAGTGTACTGTATGATTCTAATATTGTATGAGATATAAATGTGCAGTAAATTGAGATTTGTTGGAGGTATTTTTAGCCACAAGCAGCCTAGCTATAAGGACCGATGCTTTACATCCACTAAGATTCATCATAAAGTCCTTTTGTGAAAATAATTTTGGTTTCCTAAAATGCTATTTATAGCTATTCCTCCCAGGAGTTTTGCTATCAGGGAATGCCACATCCGTCTGTCGATGCCAATCTCGTGCTTCCACTGTAGCCCATCTGCAGCCATAATCTGTTACCCAACCACCTGTTGTCAACCCTCTTTCTTCTGCCCCCCACTTTGCCCTTTAGAAGAAATCGCTGCAGCTGTTTTCTGGTTGTCACCGTTTAGAGTTCTTTCTGTTTGTGCAAATTCAAGTTTCTGTTTTAAAATAGGGATTACAAGAAAGAAAATGACCTTTTCGCTACTTTTTTCAGTGTTATAATGGGAATATCTTAAAGTTAGCACTTTTTGTAGAAAGCGAGGCCCAATGCATTAATTCATTTATTTATTAATGGGTATTTGATGGTGGCAGAATTTATTGTCATCCCAAAATACCTTGAAGGTGGCAATGAGCTGCCTCCTTGGATGTCTGAATCTATTCAACGTGGGCTGTTATACAGTGCTCTCAGGAAGGCATTGCCCAGGAGTTTGACTCAGGCATCATTTAAGCATTGATGAAACAGTTCCATGGATGGTGTTTGGCATGGAGGGAAATCTGTGGGTAGCTGTTTTCCCACCTGTGGCTTCGATTACAATTCTCATTCTTTTCAACTTTTTTTTTTATTATACGTGTTGAAGAGTAACTATAAAATGTGACATAACGCATCATTTATTTTGATGGAATTTGAGATGCTATGCTCAAGAATCTCTTTTAGTTGTGTGTGCAGTTATGGGCTGGATTGACTGATATGCCTTTATCTTGAATTGGATTGTTGTAATATTGAATATATGTTCAAAGGTCACTTGATACTTAAATCTGCATTAAGATTTCTGACTACTACTTCTTGTTGTACAGGGCAGATTGTGACTTAATTAATGAACTCTGCTGCAAGCGATATGCAGGCCATCTGACTAGGTAAGGAGCGCTGCTAGGTGTGTGACAATTCATCATGCTTATGTTTTCACTTGTAATAGAAAAGATAAAGATTATCCATGGAGTACCAAGTTTAGTGTTTATTGAAATTACAACATTGCAGTGATACATGAGTAAAATACACTTTAAAAGAGACATTGAAAGGGCCATAAACAGCATCTATTAGTGTACTCACAGCTACTAGGTTGCTGTCTAGTGTGGTACATAGGAATTGGTAAAGGCCATTCAGCTCCTTGTCTCTTTTTGTACTGTTTAATTTGATTGCAGCTCATCTTAATTGTAATTGTGTGTTCTTATTCTGTAACCTTTAATATCTTTAGATACCAAAACTGAGTAATCACAGTTTAGAAATATTCAATTGGGCTAGCCTGAAGTTTTAGATTTCCTCTCCCCTTTTTATATAAGTGTTTGCTGACATTGTCCTTGAACAGACTAACTTGGGCTTCTCAAACTGTAAGAATAAGCTGCTGTAATTTTTAAGGCTATTGTCCTTGGCTCTAGACTCCCTGAAGAGGAAATATTTTTATCCCAAGAATGAAACGGGTAAATGGTTTGGATGGGTTTCTTAATTAATTCATGTGGAGAATATCAGAACTTCATTGTATGACATATGCAAATTTTTTCCCAACTTGCTTTTTTTTTCTTTTTGAAGCAATGTTGAACAGTGAACTCACTTCAGTTCTCTAAAAAGATGAAATTTGGTTGATTTAATCCCACCTCTTGTGGCTTCACTTTCACTTCAGATACTAGCAAGCGTGGCTTGAAGTGCTGGAATTCTTTGCCACTTCCCTCCAGAATACATCTTGGTACATTGGATTTTCTTTTCCCAAGTTGTTGCTCATTACTTCCGTGCACAGTGCCAATGGGTTCAGATCGCTTTGAACCTTCCCAAAAAGATATAGAAATAATTTGCTTTATTCTATCGCCTCCCTTTTTGAATGCTGCTATTCTCTTTAAATTTGCATTATAACTCTACCTGCACCATGAGCATCCTTCCCAAACCGAAAGCTGAATAATTATGCAAATAGTGTGAAAATGGAGAATTGTGTGAATTATCGTTTTGGCAAGATTTTCAAAAATTCCTAACACTGTGCTGACTTATTCCAGTATTTTGGGCACCCTGTCTCCGCTATGCTTTAAGCTCATGGTTCTGTCATTTATACAGTGGAGATCCTGCTGCAGTAATGGTCTTTTTGATGAAAACTGTTTTGCAATATTATTGTAGTGAACAAGTTGCACAAATTTGATTTGTATTTCAGAAATCATAAAAACAAGATTGATTTCCAGGTGGGGGACAAAGTATGCTGTTCAAAGAACGGATATGTCAGAGACTTTACACAACAGTCGGAGCCACAGACAAAGTCAGAATTGAAAGAAGAGAAACTAGTTCGTCTGTGTAATGGAGAAATCTTTTTTATTGCCCAGGTAAAACCATGTTGTTCCTAATTTGCTTTTAATTGTGAGAATTTTCCCACAAATGGTTGCAAGGAAATAAGACTAAATTTTTTAAATACTGTTCACTAAATTAGGTTTTTAAAATGATGCTTCAACAATATGAATTTTCATTGTTTTAGAAGAACACTCTACCTGTACTGTCTCCTGCCCCAACTCTATTCTCTTGGAGTTCCCTTAGAATATTGACTGTTGCATGGATATAGATGTGCAGATGCTGGAAACCTTCCAGGACTTTCCTAGCAAGAGGTCTGTTGATGCAGATGTCATCGTGATTGCCTAATTTTGCACATATCTGAAAGACCTTCTACTGGTCAGAGATGAATTGCGATCAGACAGCAATGGATAGCTGTTTCAGCTGGAACACTTTTGATCAGACCGTGCTGCAGTTTAAGAGCTATCCATTGTTTCATTAAAGGATTAGCCTAACCTCTTTCTCTATCACTCTCTTAATGAAGCCAAGGATCACAGCTGCTTTCTGAACAGCCTTCTCAACTTGCCCTATCTTTGCCTTCCAAGACTCCTGTTTGTACACCCCCAGATCTGTTTCTGCATCATTTTTACAGTTGCACATTTTAATGTCATTATTTTGTACTTGCCTGTATTAAACATTTTAACACCTGTTTTGGGACATTCCAAAGTTATGAAGGAAGTTTTTGAAATGCTGATTCATTCTTAAATAATGGAGCGCCAGGGCTAAGGAACAGAGAATTTTTGCTAGGTTCCTTGCTCCTGATCAACATTTTGAGCTCAGCCAGAAAATGGGGAAAAATTGTATGTTAAGTGGTGCAGGGGTCAGGTTTTTGTGGAAGAGAAGGCAAAAGAAATGAGGAGAAAGGAAGGCCATGACTTGGGTAAAGTGCAATAATTCTCAAAACTGAGTGAGTCCAGACAACAAGTCTTAATAATGTGAAGAATGTTGATCACAGGCATGAGAAATAGGCACTTGGACTGGGCATTGAAAAGTTGGTGCCTCTGAACTGTGTCCCAGCAAAAATCAACAGTTTAAGAAAATGGAGAACTTGTAGGTTCTAGGGGTGGCAGTAGAAAACAGTCAGTAACTCACCAGATAATTCTCACTGAAATAGTTTAGAATGCCACGAATTTGAGTTACAACAATATACTGCATTAGTTAGGAATTTTAGTCTTTCTCACCAGGCAAGAAATGGTAAATTGATCACTTTTCACGTTTCCAAGTGAAAGAAATTTAGGCAGAGCACAAAGCATGTAATTGATTTGCCAACGCTCACCAACTAAAATTAAAATTTAGTATTTTCTTGTGTTTGGGTGGATTTTTAAAAAATATTTCGTTTGGTTTGCAGTATAAAACTGAACAAGCCAAGAACCAAAGCTCGGATTACTTGCTACTGGATGATAAGGATAATCGACAAATATTCGTGAACTATAAAAATGTAATGAGAGAGTGCAGATTGCAACATGCTTGGGCCAAAACAATCCATACCTTTCAGGTAAGCAAAGTAATGATCAATTCATTTGTCATCTCTTTGTACACCAACGAGCTACACTTTCACCAGTTTGACTTTAATGCTTAACCATTCCAACATTTAAATATGTAGATGTATTTGGACAAACACTTGAAACTCCATAGCATTCCAGGCCGAGTGGTGGTAGATGAGATTAGAGTGGCTATATGCTTGATGACCAGCACAGACACCATGGACTAAAGAGCCTCTTTTCGTAGTAGTAGCTGTAAAACTCTGACTAAGTTTTTCATGAAGTTTTTGGGCTATATTCGTGAGCTGCTTTTTTGGCTTAAATAAATCTGACTAAATACTGAATCATTTTTTGATTCCTTTTGCTGTCTGCCCTTCAGTTCAAAATTGGCAGTTCTGGCCAGTAGTTGAAGAAATGAACATTTTCTAATAAGGCAAGTCTAGACAGTAAGTTATTTAATTGTAATTCAAAAACAAAATCTAGCAGAGCTGAATATTTGAAATAAAAGTCACACCGTAACTTGCAGCTGTGGCAGCATCTGTGGAAAGAGGAATAGTGTTAATGTTTCATGTGGATGACTTTATTAAGGAAGTGAAATTGCAATTATTTATCCTTGCCCATTCCCTTAGCTGGAAATGCTGAAGTTAATTGTGGCATTCAGCTGACTCATAGTCTTGGGACTTTCTAGCATGTAGTAAAGCCTGTTAAACCTTCATCTTTGGAGCACCTCTAATGTACCTGCACTTGTATTTTAGGGCTCTGAAGTTGCCACAGTTGTGTATGTTGTAGGATCAGCAGGAAGACAGAACTGGCAACATATCTATACTGCAGTCACACGAGGGCGCCAGCGTGTCTATGTTGTTACTGCTGAGGATGACTTTATTAAGGCAGTGACAGCCAAAAGCCCTCCCAGAAACACCCGGCTGCGTGAATTGCTGCGAGAGAAACTACGAGAAATGAAACCCACTTTTGATACTGGATTATGGACCCAGCAGAAACAAAGTTGCATGCCTTTGGGAGTGCCTTCCACACTTGGATTAGTGACCTCAGTGCAGTTCAATTCGCTTAAGTCTACTGTCCAGGTAATGGATGACTCTGACTCTGTGTTGAGCAAAGCCAATGAAATAAGAAAGGACAACAGCAAAATAGATCCTCGGGAAGGAGACTCCTTGGCGGAGGATTTGGCATTTGCACAAAATTATAGCTGGTCTCCTCAAAGTCTGGAGTTTGAGAACAGGCACTGTGAGGTCCTGAAAAGTACAACAGCAGTGCACAGCAGCTGTCTTGAAACTAGCAATGGAACCACAAGGGATTCTCCTACGGCAATGACTGGTGAGGAGGTTGCAAGTCCTAATAAAGTTTCAACACCTTGGTCTTGCAGCAATAAGAGAATTGGTAATATTTTGGAAGACAAGAAATCACCTCAAAAATGTTCAAAGGTAATATTATCTGTGTGGGCTGGTGTAAATGTCTGAATAACTAATATTGGATCAAAGTTGTTTTTTTTTGTAATGTGGAAGGATAGAACAGAATTAAGGCATTTCACTTGGCCATTTAGGCACAGCAGTGTTCACTGTAAAAGGTATTGGAGGGAACGTTAGTCCACAGCACTGGTGACATCTCTACTCCTGAGCAACTGTAATTTAAGGTAGTCTCCATTATTGTTATACTTCTTAGTATTTCCTCAGAACTAAACAGCAACCAAAACACATTGCTGGAGAAACTCAGTAGGTCTGCAGCAGAGAAAGCAGAATGAATATTTTGGGTCTAGCAACCCTTCTTCATGTCATAACTCGTGCACCATAACATTCAGACTTTGACCCTCCCTCCTACTCAGTCTGTCCAATAACATATAGAAACCAAGTTGCACGCTTGGAAGTTGTGAGTTTCAGTGATAACTCCCTCTCCCTCTATGATCTGTGCACTTTGGCAAGTGTTTTGGGAATAAGGAGGCAATATCTGAGAATACCAATGTAGTTTAAACCTTCTCCTGCAATACTAGTAAATTGCCCCATGATGAAATTGATTTCAACTGTGTTTGGGTGCTACTCATCAGGCCTGGGCAGGTCCCATGTTGCAGGAATCGGAATCCCTACCTCATGTACCACTTCCCAGCTGTGCATTCGCCTTCCTTATGCTCAGTGCTATAATCATTTGTGTGGTATGAGGAGTGACTTGGCTACAACTACTTTTGAGGTCAAAAACGAAATGCTGGAGAAACTCAGCTAGTCTGGTGGCATCTGTGGTGAGAGACAGTGTGATATCGGACTCAAACTGCTAACTGATTCTCTCTAGATGGATGCTGCTTGATGTGAGTTTCTCCAGTGTTTTCTAATTTTACTGTTTCAAAGGTTCTGCTTGCTAGTTTTGCACCAAATATCCTAAATTCTGACTGCAGGACCACACTTGTTATATAACTGGCACCAATGCTGGCTGTTCTCTCTCCCACCTTGGACCCTTCTATTTGCTGGACTATATGGTGGTCACCTATTCCCACTTTCCCTGCATTTGTTTAAGCTGGAAATCAGTCACATCTCTAAATATGTCAACTTTTAAGCATTTAACCTCGTAGATGCCACCTCAAGGAAGCAACAGCTGGCACCACTGTAATGCATAGTGGTTAGCACTGCTGCCTCAGTGCAAGGGACCTGCGTTCGATCCCACCCTTGGACAACTGTCTGTGTGGAGTTTGCACATTCTCCCCCATTGTCTGCGTAGGTTTCCTTCCACAAGTTCTTGACATGCAGCTTAGGTGGATTAGCTGGGGTAATGCAGTGTTACAGGGACAGGGTAGAGGGTTAGGTCTGGGTGGGATGCTCTACAAAGGAGTGGTGTGAACTTAATGGGCCAAACTGACTGCTTCCACACTGTAGGGTTTCTATGATTCTTGATTCCTGCACATATGATTATCTAGGTCCAAGAAGTGTCCGAGAATGCCAATATAACGTAGAATATGTAGTACAGAGCTTGACGCAGCCCTGCCATCCCTTGGTTTAGATAATAAATCTTGGCTTTTTGTAGCATCACATGCTGGCTGGTGCCTACTGAATGCTAAGAATTATGGATAGGTATTTAAATTCCCTATCTTGATACAATCTTGGCAATGTATTTTCTTTTGTAGGTATCCTTGATGGAATCACCTCATGCCTGCAAGATGTTTCGGCAGTTGGCACTTGACTGCCCACCCCCAAGTCACAACTTGAAAGTAAAGCAGCTTTTTAAAGAAGGGAATTGAATGCAAAGACACCAAACACAAAAAAAAGACATAGAAATAATGTGCAATAAGTTAAAGGAGCAGTATGCTTTCATGGAGAAGATTTTATGCTGTTGACAATGTTGAAGGTTCCAACAAAAGTGTTTTTAGGACAACAGTTTGAACTGATCTGTAAAACTGATATGCTTAAAGCTGTGGTCTGAGTCTATTTTGTCAATTACCACAGACTGAAACCAATAACTATGAAAGTTTAAAAAACAGAACATTCATTATTTCATTTTCTTAGATCATTTTTAAGAAGTGTTTAATTTTGACATCCATCTTGGATCACTCAAGTTGTAATGTATCTTGTAGTGTATTTGCATTTTAGGTTATGGATACAGTCTTTAAACTACTACAGTCATGATGTATGCTTTTACGTGGTTTTATTTCATCTTGCATATCCCTTACAAATTAGCAGTGAAGATTCCCAAAACCTTAAGAGGACGATAAATATCATGCTACCAAAGTAGGAAATTTGTACAAAAATACTTTACAGTTTATAATACTTGTCTGTTACAAATAAAAATACATTGTCCAAAGGACATTGGTATGAGGGATTTGATTCAATTTTGCCAAGAGTCAAGCTGTCTAGTTGTTGGCAGTGTTTGTTTTAAATATGAATCACATTGTTAGGCTGGAAAACTGAACATAATGACTCTATTCTTCAGGAGGCTCAAAGCAGGGTACAGATGCTTCCTCAATCTACACTTGACACCTAAAAACAATTTGACTTTTTACCATTGGTTGGAAAACCTGGAGTATCAGGTTGATTTCTTTTCATTGCTCGTTTGTTCCAAATTGCTCCTTTTCATGGCCAGATTTCACCTGATGGTGGAAGTTAACATCATCTAACCTGGTTTGTTTTGATTCACTGAAGTGAGACACAACCACCAATAATACTAACATTTTAACCAGCCTTGAAATTCATGTACATCAAAGAGTTCATACTTCAGTTTTACTGATTTACAAAGTCAATCTTTTACAAATACAAATGTGTTAATCAACTATTTACCAGCCCACTGCTGGATCTTAATATGTAGAAGACACAAATGAATAGATTTAAGATTACCTATTTGGATTAATGAATTAATAATAAGACTTGGTAATCTGAAATGGCAGGTACATATCAAGAGTTATTGTCCTGGTGGCAATATTAGAATCCCCATCGTAAAAGATGAGGCCATAAAATCCTGGCAAAGAGAAGGTCACCTGTGGTTATTTTTTTTTTGAAACAGGAATAGTGTTATTTTTCAAGCAATTAGCATTCTCCTTTTGCAAGTCAGTGCAGTGCTTTGAAAGATCAAAAATGAAAGCTTATTGTTCTTACATTTTTGCAGTTTGTAGAAGGAAATCGTCAATGTTCAAGTCTGAGCATTGTGATTTTAAGTATTACTAGAAATTGGAGCTAACGATCACATTATAAGGTTCACACTGCTTCCAAGTGAGAATTCTGTTAAAAGATAACAGCCCCCAAGAACAAAGGCTTTGGGTCAGAAACCAATTGAGCAAAGACTAACTAAACTGTTGTCTGTGCAGTTTAGACAGTTTCTTTTAAACATATACAATTAACTAGGGATAAGACTGTGTGCTGCGTCTCTAGCTTTGGGATATAAGCAAGATTTTCAATTTAATTAAAAAGGCTCATTTTACATTTTATGCAGCATGTATATTTTCTTTTGACCAGTAACCAGCTGGCAACATCAATAAAAAGGTTAATTTTATTTTCAGAATTTAGACAGTAATCACCAGGAAAAAAATAAACTACTCTTGGCATAGTAGTGCACAGGTTTTGTTTCATGCCTGTGCCCTGCATAGACTGGCTTAGTTATGTTTCACAGTTTTGTCAAACCTGTTAACTAGCTTTTTTTTGTCATTTGCGATATTGAAAGGAGGGGATCTTATCAAAAAAATAGGTTTCTGCTGATTTATGAAATCTGTGCTTGGAACCTGTGAGAGACATGACAGACTGAAAAGGCAGGTGTTCCACAAATGAACATTTTTAAAGTGAGTTAGCACCATTAAAAGTATAGACAATACTTCAGCCTTTTGGACTGAATGCATTGTACTACAATGTATTTGTATTCTCCTGTATATCAGTACTACTGAGTCTTCCTTTCTGTTGCCTGAAAACATGAGCTTCGTCTTGCTCGCTCCATTCTCCTGCTTGGGACGTCTGATCTAGAGAGAGCACCTCCTGACAGGCCAGTGGGTTTCTGCTGATGACCAGCTCAAGTTTATTGCCAGAATCTGCTATGAGAGGCACCACCAGACAGCAGTCAAAATCTCTTGTACGGATATGATTTACCTGTTGGAAGGAAATAAAACCAACACCAATCTTTTCAGTCTCTGCTTTCAAGAAATACATTATAGTCACAAGTTGTCTTTTTTCTTGTGCTTTATATGCTTAAGAATGAATTTAAATGTTAAATCTATTGTACCTGCAACAACCTGTCATAGGGTTTGACACCACCAAGGGCAGCTGGTCCATTTGGACGAATGTGGTTGACATACACTCCTTTCTCAAGCAGGCCATCTGAAACACTGAATCCAAAATCTTCAGTATCTGAATCTTTATAGAGTGTTACCTGTGAAAGATTTCAAGAAGGTACTCAATTGATAACTTTCCAAGTTGGTACAGAATCAATGTACAGTGTACATCTTGTGAAAGATGCATGCTGGTTTTTGCAATAAAGAAAGTGCTGGAGAAACGCAACAGGTCTGACAGCATCTGTGGAGAGAGAAACAGTTTAATGATTTGAGTCCGATGATTCCTCAGAACTGTAAAGAGGTTGTCAATAGCGTAAAAAACATTTTCCAGCCCCTTTCAGCTCTGAAGAAGTCAAGTCAGAATCACATTTCTCCTATATTTTCAATTCAGATTTCCAGTATTGCCCTTCTATAGATTTTGTAATGTTCCAGTAAAACAGCTGGATAAAATATCCAGCAGAGAATAACATGCAACATATTATTTGAATAAGCTGTCCTTTCTGTTTGAAAGCAAATTACAACATAGATCAACTTCCAAGTCTAGATTCACGAGTCATGAAGACAATTGATTTTTGCTAGTGTAATTAATTTATGCAATTAGTAAAATAGATATTTCACTTTTCATCAGGTCAGTTTCCATAAAGGAACAAATCTGAATTGAGAAACACAGGAACATCTCTAGAGTGAATATATTTTAATGAGGTCTAAAACCTTGTGCAACTCCACTGGTGTTGGTGACATGATTTCTTTCATTTCTTGCTTGATTTTTCTAATTGCAAGCAACTTCGATCTCCCACCATCTGACGGTAGAGTGTTGCTACGGGAAGTCTGGGTGTAATGAACCCTGACAGGATTTCTCTCTTGGAAGCTGGACTGTCTTCCCAGTGGCCTGTGTGTCATACTGTTTTCATGATTAAGACTCAGTGCACTTCCAGACATGATTGTTGCCTGTTGGATTAAATAACAAAGCTGTAAAGTTCAGGGTCTGGAAAAATGAGGTAAACAGGCAACTCTATTAGCAATGTGTGAGAGAGTTAGAAAAATTGTACATAGTTACATTCTCTGAATCGACACAAAATAAAAGTGTGAATTAGTTGCTTAACGTTTGTATTAATATTTTAACACTCTGCATGGCTTTTAGTATGGATTAAAAGGAAGAATTGTCAGTGTTGAATTATTAACTGTTAATTTTATTAAGTTTTAAGAAAAAGTCTTGCTTGTATTAGAAACTGTAAAAGTTACCACCTCACAGCAATACTAAACATTCAAAAAGAAATGTACCAATATAGCCAAGTTTTTCAAATTCAGTTGGTTTTGGTTGCCAGCCTTCTTTAAAGAGGAGCTAGGTTCCTGTAATTATTAAGACCATATACAGGCTAAAGAACAAATGCCGATGCAAAACTGATTCATTTAATATTACTGTTCTGAAATGGTCACAGCCTATGCATGCCAAAGAGCAAAACTTCATTACCTCCAATTCTCTCAGGATTCCTGATTGACCACACGTCTCCAAATCTTCTAGAGCTTGGGACCAAAAACTTTCTTCTTGATCTGTTTCTATGCCGTCATGACCACCTACATAACTGAAATTTGTTCAAATAAAAAGTATACAATTAAAAACTGTGCATGGTGTGGTTTTGCTGTCCAAAAAAAATGTTAAGAAAAATTACATGGTTTTACTGTATCAACTGTCTACAGGATGCATTCTGGCAACTTATCCAGGCTCCTTCAGCAGCACCTTTCATACCTGTGAGGTCTACTGTCTAGACGGTCAAGGGCAAAAATTTCCCCTCCAAGTCACACACTATCCTGACCTGGAACTATATTGTCATTGCTTCACTATCCTTGGGTCAAAATCCTAAAACTATCTTCCCAACAACACCATCGGTAACTCTACAGCTCAAGGACTGCAGTGGTTCAAGGCAGCACCTAACTGCCACATTTGAGGGCAATGGGTTTTGGCCCAAAACGTCAACTTCCCTGCTTCTTGGATGTTGTCTGACTTGCTGTGCTTTTCCAGCTCCACATTTATTGACCGATGCCAATTAGTGATGGGGCAATGAATGCAGGACAACCTGGTGACACCATACCCCATGAACTAAACAAAACAATATAAACATCTGAATGAAAAAAAGTACTGCAGGGCTCTAGGTAAGAGGAATGAGATAAATTTCTCTTGCAGTGAGCTAGCAAACACTCATGGGGCTTAATGGCCTCCTCGGTACATCTATTTTGGGTTGGAGGCACTAGTCAGCTTGGTGACTTGGACCATCTTGTATATTTATATAAGTACATCAACTGACTTTGCGTTATATCATAAGAACATATACACACATTTATGCAGCCACTATCTACAATTAATTTGGCGAACTGCTAAAACAAGGAGCTCTGTAGCTACCATGTGCAAGGTTTTATTTACCTCTCAATTATGTGGCTTGGAGTCAAGACTGGAGGGCTGTGGTTCTGACCCATGGGGACAAAAGGCTAGGACAATGTGTAGATGGAGCCGGGGTCACATTCCGAAGTGAAATCTAGAGCTGCCAGGTTTCTATCTCAATCAAGATAAAAATCCCAGGACTGGAGGGATACTTCACATCCCTACACTGTGCATTCTGGAAGCAGATTTTTTTTTTTTTTAAAAACATTGTAAAAGGAGAACCCGAACGTCACCAATTCAGTCACAACAGCTTTTCCCAGAGATATTGGTACGTTTTCTCATATTCAATTTGTCCCTGTTCATTTTGAAGTTGTTATGAAATAGTATCAAAAAAAAAACACAGAAAATGATTTATTTCCGCATCGGATGCGTCTGAAAATTGAACTGTACAACTCACCCACTAGTGGTAGGTTGATCCCATTCATCATCACTCAATGCTGCTTCATGGTATGGGTTATTATGATACCTGCTGGCAGGTGAGAAACTTAGTTTGGCACTTCTCCATTCATGTGCATGAAGACTGTAGCCAGAGGCTTGGTATCCAGAAGGACCTAAGAAATAATAAGAGGTTCAAACCGATCGTTTTAGAAACAATATAGGAGTGTTTGATAAAAGATTCAGAATAAGTCAAAACACTGGTAGTATCATCTACATACACAAGTGTAGGAATTTGAGAAATCAAGGAATATACTCAAAATTATCAAAGGATCAATAATTATGTTGCACATCCAAAAAGACTAATAAAAAGAAACAAGTGTCAAAATTCCTTACTTGAGTTGATTGTTGACATTCCCCAGATTGTAATTTGGTGGAACAGAATTTGAGCTTTGTTGAAAAAAAAGGACATTTTGCTGAAATAATGCAAAAGGGAAACATTTATACTGCACAGGAGGAGAATGCTGATTGATTGGAAAGTGGACTCGAGTAGAGGTGTTGCCATGGAGCATGCATCAGTTAGATGACAACTGAAAGTTAACTGCTCCTGTTCTTTACTTCTGCAAAGAAAAAGGCCGATGTGTCTTGGTTTATATAACCTCCAGATTCACCTCGCTGAGCCTGACTGACAATCTTAAAAATCATACCAGTAATGAAATCTGTATACTGCATTACTCCTGTGCGACATACGCACAACATGATTTGTGTTGCTACTGCATAGCAACAGTGGAAAACAGCTAGCCTCACCTGTTGCTCAAACCTTTCAGATACTTTTCCTTTCTGGGGTATGCTGGGAACTTTTCGGAACCAAATCAGGCATCCAAAATCCCATTCGCAAGTTGTGAGATAAACAGTGAGAAATGGTCTGATCAGAGTGGTCATTGTCCTGCAGGATTGTTTTAATGCAACCTAAATCAGCATCAAGCTTTCATGTTGAATAAATCATTGCCAATAAGGCCAACCTTAAAGCACTTAGAATCACAGGAATCTGACATATCAGAATCCCTGACCAATCTCTCAAACAGAACACTGAGAAAAAGGACCTCATTTGACTGTTTCATTTCAAAGGAGGGATTAAGCGCAGGATGGAGCACTTTAGGGTGTGTAAGAAAAGATTTACATGCAGCTGTGAATTCAATTATAGCAAACTTATCATCTACATCTTGGAAATTACAAAGGGAAGTGGTTAGATGTCATTCTAAAGAACAGTTGCAGAATCCAGCAAATCAAAATCAAATCAATTGAAACCAAGATGATTGCGAGAGCTGGACCCAGTGGAAATCTCACTGCAACATCTATTTGGGCATAGTTAAAACTGAACTCAATTTATTGAGCTTTTGAGTTCATACGTTCAACAATTCACACAATAATGGCAAGGTCTAGATCACCACAATTGTAATTAGTGATTGGTTAATAGGCTAGCAGTCAAATGAACACATTGACAGAACATTGCTATTTGCATCAAAGTGCTAGTCTACCTCAGATGATGCTGGGAGGGGAGTTACATCAAAATATTTGAGCAACAGGTGAAGCTAGTTGTTCATGCTGCCACTATGCATTAGCAATATAAGTGGTGTTTGCCACTGACAGGATGCTGCCATCGAGCCAAACACATATTCTGCTGATACACAAAAATGAGTAAAGTCGTTTATCAATTTCGGTGCCAATATGATGCAAGTTATGCAGGCCATACATTCCAAAGACTGGTGGATCATACCAAATCCTATATCTCTTCAGTTGTTTGCAATGAGCAAGCTACTAACTGTACCCAACTAGCCCGCATTTGCAACACAGTACCTCAAGTTAGATGTGATTCTGCGATTGGGCAACAATTGATAAATAATCCCATGGTGCAAATAATTAATCTGACAAAAAAATTAAGAGGCTTGCAGCATAGCATACTTGTACATACAGGAAGCTTTATACATATTAACACACAGGAGAAAGAACATGTACATGCCGAGTTTGTTCCAACTCAGCAAAATGGTGACAACCATGCTCTAGTTCATTTCTCAGCACAATGCTTTCACCAGAGAGTCAACCTGCCTGGTTTAAAACTTAAAGAAATCTTGGTGGTTAACTGTTAACTAACATTTAACTGCTACATTCTCCATGCCAATGCCTCCACCAATTTCAGTTCACTTGTCAACCAGTCAGCACTTTTCACTCAGAATAAATATTCTTTTCACTTTACATTGGAATTCTTGTAAATTGTCCTGATGGGTGAAAGATTGTGCCTTTTTAAATTAATAAACTACTTCTACTCCAGTGAATTGTTATGGCCTAGGCCAAGTTACAGTTTATACTGCTACAAAAAAAATTAATCATACCGACAAAATGCAATTGCTTCATCACATTCACAGAAAGAAAACCAGAGTTTACTATACTAAGCCATCTCCTTAATTAATCAAAACTAAGATTCCCTAAATTATAGCATGCAATATGCGTTCACTTAAGAGTTGTGGTTGCATTCTTGACTTTAAGTGAATTATACCTTCCCAAAGAAATCAATGTTAACTTGACTTCGGTTTCTTCAGACATTTCTTGCTTGCAAATAAACAACAGAAGGTTGACATGCACTTCTGTATGTGCATAGTACTGTGAATTCTTAGCCGAAATAAAGTGCAATATAAATTACTATATATAACGGAAACACTAAATTAGGTACTTCAGGAGATAGTAGGAACTGCAGATGCTGGAGAATCCGAGACAACAAGGTGCAGGGCTGGATGAACACAGCAGGCCAAGCAGCATCATAGGAGCAGAGAGGCTGACGTTTCGGGCCTAGACCCTTCATCAGAAAAGGGGGAGGGGAAGGGGGTTTTGAAATAAATAGGGAGAGAGTGGGAGGCGGATAGAAGAGGGATAGAGGAGAGGATAGGTGGAGAGGAAACAAACAGGTCGAAGAGGCGGGGATGGAGCCAGTAAAGGTGAGTGTAGGTGGGGAGTTAGGGAGGGGATAGGTCAGTCCAGGGAGGACGGACAGGTCAAGGGGGCGGGATGAGGTTGGTCGGTAGGAGATGGAGGTGCGGCTTGAGGTGGGAGGAGGGGATAGGTGGGAGGAAGAACAGGTTAGGGAGGCAGGGACGAGCTGGACTGGTTTTGGGATGCGGT